TATATATATAATCTAAATATCCCAACTCTATATTGCATTATAATAAAACTCATTAAAAATATAACATCTATTGGTTTCATCATGCTTGATATCACAATTCCTTTCACATCTATATATAAAATGTACATGTGAAATGTGATCAATATAATTAATTAGAAAAATGCATAACTATTGCGATTCTTTAGGTTTTTGAATGTTATAAAGTGGACATTCTAATATAGGATTAATGATATTTATTGCTTGAAACTAATCAAATAAAAAAAAATGCATAATATTGATTGTTATTTGCTTGGTATCGAAAAATTAAGTTAATTTAACATAAGTAATACCTTCAGATTCTTCAGATAATTCTACAATATTACCAACATGAACCTTTAGTTGAATAAGACCCTGTTTATCTCCAAGAATAGTATATGCAATAAAATTATAAAAATCCACCTTTCTATTCAATAATGCAACTTTTGATTCAAAATGCTCCAAATATGACTTAGAAAGATTCTGAAAAAGTAGATGTTTATCATCTAATCTTTTTGATAGACCTATACTTTAATTTTTTTGATAGTCTATTGATTGCTAAGTGTAATATTAGTAATATTAACAAAATTTTTATCTTGACATGCAATAATTTTAACATCTATTGAAAAAAAATCTCATAAATTAGTAAAACAAAACAAAATTTTATTAATGAATAAAAGAAACTTACCATCATTTTCATCTTTGAATTCCTGTTTACTCATAAATGTATGTGGATTTTCTGTAATATATCAGTCTGATAATATTGGGCAAAGGTTTGGATCCATAATCAAATTACTAAATGTATTGGTATTTGTGTCAAAACGAGGATCCGTTAAACTATCGATAATATGTCTTAATGCTTGTATTGTGTTATACCTTCGGGTAAGATCCAATTCAATTACTTTACGATTTGTGTGTGATACCATGCCCTTGAATGTGTAATGAACCATTTCTTTCGCACCAACAGCCCTATTTACAAGTGTTCTGAAATTACAAGCATGTTGTGAAAGGTGAACATTTACATACAAATTAGGTAAGTTTTCAAAATTCTCTGAAAATAATTAAGACACATATTAGTAAAATTATTACAATTTATAAAACATAATCTTAACTTACTAGTATTAGCATTTCACGTTCTCTCATAAGTGATTCTTGTAATTCAAGGTAAGTTCTTTTTATTATGGTAGTTGAAAATGCAAAATATAGCTGTAGTTTGTATTATTCTATGCTTTGTATACTATTTATTTAAGACCTTCGCTTTTATATGGCAAGGTTTTAAAAAATGTCAAATTATAAATGGCATTAACATTGTAAGTCTCAACATATCAGAAAACATAAAACTTTGCTATGTCATAACGGATTTAGCATACAGCTCCAATGGAATAGTTTTTCGATATTTCTCTAATGTTCTATAAAGCCTTTTCACCAGTTACATTGAGTATGCTAAATGTTAGGGTTTCTCAAAATCGAATCGAATCAAATATTTAAGCAATTTGAATTTGATTTGATTTTTTCAAATTGAATTGA